TAATGCAAGATTATAATGAACTTCTTTAGCACCAGCAGAAGCAGCTTCCTGCCACTTCCACATTGTTTCATCCAAATCATCCCCATGAGTTGGCAGAGTTCACGTCGACTCTCTGAGAGCTCCATGACTGTCGGCCCGGCACCCACCCAAAATAACTGCCAGCCAAAGCCCACTGGAACCTGCTTTCCATTTTTACACATCTATTATTCAAAGTGCTCTGTATCTTCACCGCTCTCTCTTCTCTGTAATCACTGAGGGGCCGCCAGGAACACCGGGGAGCCGGCGGAGGGATTATTGTCGGGAAAACTTTCATTGGAGCGCCGTGTGGCAGGAGGCCGAACACTTCCCCAGTTTAAACACACAGAGAAACGAGTTCAGAAAACAGGGAATCAGATCCGGCTCCAACGGCTCGGTGAAGGAACACGGGCCAAGATGATACTCATCATTCAACCTGAACATGACGCAGCTGAAAATAAAGTTTGTCCTGAAAGTAGAACAAAGGTCATGGACTCATTATAATTCATGGGGTTCTGAAGCATGAATGAGCTCCACCTGTGTCATTACAGTGTTTCAGTGTCTGAAACACAGAGCACGAGTCGCTGACGTCATTACTCGAGCAGCGTTTCCTCGTGCACCTGCGCACGTGTTGTCTTTGGCTTCAACTATCTAGACAACAACTGTTGATGTGTGTTGGACCGACACAAACTGCAGGAACAGGAAACAGTCTCGTGCAGATCGTTATTCCTCCGTGTCGGCGACAGTCAGAGCGGCGGCCACATGTTTTCAGGTTGTCTGTGCGTCTCTTTCTCCTGGACACGATATCTCAGTAACACCGGGAAGGAACTTCTTCAAATTTGCCAGAAACATTCATTTGGACTCAAGGATGAACTGGTCAGATTTTGGTGGCTAAAGGTCAAAGGTCAAGGTCACAGTGACCTCACAAAACACTTTTTAGCTATAAGTCAAGACGTCACAGCAATCATGACCAAACTTCACACAGATGGTTGATATTCTCTCTGACTCTGGATAAACAGGAAGTGACCTGGAACTAGTCTGAGCGGAGGAGGGATACGACCACAAGGAGGTGCTTCTACTTTCCTCTGAGAAATCCACTGATGGTTAAAAGTTGTTTCCTGTGATCTGAGCTGCACACGTATAAATCCTGCAGCTTTACCATGAAATGACTCGACTCAGCATCAAATGAAAGGAAACGCAGGAACATGTATAGACACTGAAGCGTATCAGATGAAGTTAGCTGCTGCTGTCCTGAATAAATCAGAGATGGAGGAGAACACAGGCTCTCCTGCAGAGCTGCAGCGTGACGTGAGGAGATATTCCTCCAGGAGCATGAGCAGAGCGAGCGCTGACACCACTGACCTACATATCTCATCTCCACGAGCCGGGCTGCTGGATGAGAGATGGAGGTGAGGGAGGCTGCCAAGAAAGCAGACCTGACAGAGGGAGGGGGAGGGGCTGCAGGGGATGGCTTCAATATGGCACAAGTGGGATGCAGAGATGCATCCTGTTGACGTGTTGCTTCATGATCCAGTTTAAAGCGGCTTAGGAGCTTCTTTAAAGGAACAATCACAATCCAAACGTTTGATCTCTCCTCCTCCTCCCTCTGCTGCTCGCTGACACTGATCATGTGATGTGTTGTTGTGCTGTTGTGTTGTTGTGTTGTTGTGTTGTTGTGTTGTTGTGTGGTTGTGTTGTTGTGTTGTTGTGCTGTTGTGTGGTGGTTACAGACGTTCCTGTAGCTTTTTCCCTCTGTTCACATTTAGTTTGCAGCTGTTTGGATGGAGGCAGCAGTTTATAAGATAATCATTCTCTCACCATCAACATCCAGGCAGCACTGGGTGTGTGCCACACTTCATGTCCAGGCTTTACTTTACCATTTTCCTCTGAGGTCAGGCTCGGGGTGGGAAGCTGAAACTCAGTCACGGAGAGGACAGTGTGGTTCTGTTGTGCAGCAGGTGATCGTTGTCACGTCTCCGCCTCCTGATCGATCAGCAGTTGAACCTGAACCCTCATCAGTTTGGTCGAGTGACGATGAAGTAAATGTGTTTTTCAACCATTTCTCCTCAACCAGAGGCCCCCACCCTCAGCGTGACATCAGAGGAAAATGGCCGCCGTGTCAATATGGACTATTGGTCAGCGGCCACAACATACGATATGTTCCTGTCTGTAGATTCACACTGTTCCTCATTAACCCACACTCACTGACAGTGACATGCAAAGAAACTTACTCCAGGAACACACTGGCTGTGTGTGTGTGTGTGTGTGTGTGTGTGTGTGTGTGTGTCGTGTTGTGTGTGTGTGTGTGTGGTTGTGTGTGTGTGTGTGTGTGTGTGTGTGTGCGCGTGGCGGCTAGCATCACTGACCTGCTGCAGAGTAACATGATTTCTTTTCATTATAATTCACTTCTGATTTATTTTTGACAGAAAACTAAAATGTCTCAATGGTTAAAACATATTTCTATTTCTTCATGTCTGTGTCACATTCAGATTCAGACTAGACCCTGAAACTGTAGTGAAGGTGTCAGCTTCATGTCATGTTGCTGGTGTGATGTCACTATGACATCATCAGGTCTTCTCTCTGTTTTTGCTGTGAGACATGTCACATGTGAAAAATAGGCGAGATGCTGAATCTCTAGATCACGTGACGCAGCTGTAGGCGAAGATCTCTGAACTCTCAAGTCTGAAAGGTAGAAACTGTGAAACCCTTTAGGAGATGCTGCGTTGCCTAGATACAGAGCAGCAGCATCATCAGACCTTAAGTTAGTTGCAGCACACCTTGATCAGAGTGGATGTATATTAATGAGCTTCTCTTTTGTTCCTGTATGATCCAAACAGACTGCTTCATCCGACACACAGACCCAAACCATTCATAATAATAATATTAATAATACTTTTATTTATAGGCACCGTTCAAGACACTCGAGGACACCAACACACAGTAAAAGATGAAATGAATTAAAATAAGAATAAAAGATAAATATGATTAAACGCTGGTGTTACACAGAGTTCAGCAGAATGAGCAGGGGGGAGGTGTGTCCTCAGGTGGGTTTGAAGATGCGAAGAGAATCATTATTACAGATGTTGATACAGGACGTTGTTACTCACACCTGCAGTCTTTGGTTTGCTAATTCTTCCTTCTACCTGTCTCATTCCCGTCTCTCCGTCTCTCCACATGTCCTCATTCCTGATTGGTCCAGAGCCAGATGAAACCTCTCTCTCTGTGAAGACGGAGGGAAAGAGTGAGTGAGTGAGTGAGTGAGTGAGTGAGTGAGTGAGTGAGTGAGTGAGTGAGTGACCGACCTCTGGCAGAAATGTGCAACACACAAAGAGAAGGAAGTGCAAACAGAGGCTCTGTGTGTGTGTGTGTGTGTGTGTGTGTGTGTGTGTGTGTGTGTGTGTGTGTGTGTGTGTGTGTGTGTGTGTGACTTGAAGAGATCCCCCTTTGTGGGGCTCCCAGCGGGGCCCTCCTCCATCACACTGCTCTACTTAGCATTAGCTGTAGCAGCGGCGCCTGTGCAGCAGTGAATCAGGGCATTAAGCTGCATGATGAAGCCCGTGATGCTGGAGGCCTCGTTCACCTCCCACCCAAGAATCAGACTGCAGTCCAAACTTTACCGCCTTCAGTTACACATCAGCTGTCTGTCGACACACGCACCTCGCTCCTGCGTGGTGCTCTTTAATGGGACACCACAGAGCCCCAGGGGCTGCTGGGAAATATTCTGTCACAACAGAACGGCTGAGTGCTGGTGTGTGGATGTCTGAGTTTCCATCTCCTCTTTGTTTCAAGGAGAAGTATCCAAACAGATCTGCAGCTGTATGAGCAGCCTTTCACTGAAGGGCTCATGATCATGTGTTTGTTTTGTCTTGATTAATAAATATTATTTATCATAAATATTATTTGATGGTTTAGATCATTTCAGTCAGAAGCTCATGAACCGACTGTTTAAAGATTCTGTCACAGCTGATAAAGTTTAATCTACAAACACATTAAGAGAGTTGCAGACACAAACACAGTTTGTCTCTTCCACCTTCCCCATAAACCAGCATCATACATCTCTAAAGAGGTTTTGTATCTGCTGGACATTATCCTGTAAAAGTCTATGGACCAGACTGGTGGGACTATGAGAAGTGAAGTACTTCCTGCGGGACCCTGAGGTGCTCCCAGGCCAGGTGAGATATATAATCTCTCCAGTGTGTCCTGGGTGTGCCCCGAGGCCTGGTGCCTGGACGACCTCCGCAGTGAGGCTCCCAGGAGGATCCTAACCAGATGCTTGAATCACCACACCTGGCTCCTTTCAACACAAAGGAGCAGCGGCTCTACTCCCCGCTCCTCACTCTGTCTCTGAGGCTGAGCCCAGACCTCCTGCAGAGGAGACTCAGCTCAGCCGCTTGTATCTGTGATCTCACTCTTTCAGTCACTGCCCAGAGTCAGCACCACAGGTGGGTTAGGGTCAGAATGGTTCTGAAAATGTATAATAAGAGTGAAGTCTTTAGTTTTCCTCCTCGGTACCTGTGACGTGTGTCGGTGAGGAGGTGGCAGCTCCAGGAGTCTCAGGGGAGATCAGTCAGTGTGGGCTCAGTGCTCCTGACAGGACTGGACATCCTGCAGTAACCTCCAGCAGCTCAGAGCTCAGAGACGGGTCTCTGAAGTCACTGCAGCCGTTCACCAGATCTGAGCTGAGATCAGCCGGAGAACTCCATGTTTATAAGAGCAGTTAATTCCACATGCCGACCTCCATCACCTTCACCCCCCCCACCCCCCGACCTCCCACCCCCAGGTCATGAAAACTGTTTTCCTCGCCTCCGTCCTCATTATCAAATCGAATTAGCTTGTTCGTTGAACCGTGGGCTGATGGGACATTTGCAGCGTTCACTGCCTGTTTATCTATTTATTTATTCATTGACAATCTGTTAAAGCTGCGTCTGCCTCAGCCGCTCACCGCTCTGACCCTTCACACCTTCGTCTCTCCTCTCCGTCATCAGCTGCCCATCCTGGTGTCGTCCGTGGTCAGTCTGTACTTCCTGGAGTGGACGGACGTCTTCAAGCCGGTGAAGTCCGGCTTCACCTGCCACGACCGCAGTCTGAGCCTGCCCTACATCGACCCCAACCACGAGGTCATCCCCCTGCTGATGCTGCTCAGCCTGGCCTTCGCTGGACCCGCCATCACGGTAAGGACCAATGACAAGACAGGAAACTGTTCTCCCTCTGGCGGCCATGTTGGAGGAGCTAGATCAGCTGTTTGAACAGAGGTGGATAGACGTCTTTAACCTTTGAGGGGTCAGGTGTTCAGATGATGGTGTTAGCTTCACAGCTAACATCCTGGAGTGGAGGCACAGTTCACTTTAATGAGTTTCCTGCTCATAGAGAAGAGATGTGAAATAACAGCTGTGGGATTTAATTCAGACGTCAGCTGTAACAGTTTTTAAATCAGTGACATTTAGTCTCATGACACCTGAATATCTACCTGTGTTCATGACACCTGAATATCTACCTGTGTTCTTTAGTCTTTAACATGAACTAACTTCTTCTTGAGTCACTCTTCCAGTTCCTGTTTGTGTCTGAATCTCTTCACCTGCTGCTCATGTCTTTGACTGAATGATCTTTAGCAGGATATCAGCTGTGAACACACCAACATGTTGGAGGTATAGACGGTCTGAGTTCAGGATCCGGATCTGGTCCCTCCAGAACCAGGAGACCTGTTCATCCACGTGATCACTATGATCCTCTGCACCAGTGGTCATCATCACTACCCAGCAATAACATCTGGATTATTTAGTTATAATGTCCTCATAGAGACCCCCCTCCCCCCCCTCCCCCCCGTCATGGCAGCAACAGTTACCCTCAGAATCACTTCCTCTTTAGTGGTTTTTGCCTACAAAATAAAAGCACAAGAAAGTTCTCTTTCTTTCTGAAAGGTTCTGACAGGAAGTTCTAAAGTGTCTGTTACTTTACGCACCTCTGAAACAATAACACCACGTCAGCAAATCACTTTAAGATCTATATTTTTATTGAAACAGAAAATCTAAACTCTTTAATCGGTGACATTTCCAGGTTGTGATGGAACCATCTTTACTGGTGCAGGTGACAGCAGCAGGTGTGTGGGACAGTCCACAGTCCTCAGAGCTTTTATCTGTATCCCATGGCTTTCTGTCATCATGTGACCTAAGCAGGAAGAAAAAGGGTCACATGGTTCAGTTTAATGTGTGTTAAAGGCTCTGCATGGGGACAGGTGTGTCCAGGTGTGTCCAGGTGCCTGCTGATGAGAGCTGCAGTCACTGTGTGCTCTGTTCAGTCAGACTCAGGTCTGTTTTCTCTCTGGTTGGATTTGTTTGTCGGAGGTGAACTCAGCGGTCTCACTCAGGTTCAGACCGGAGGAGACTACGGTGGCTCTGTGAGGACAAACATACCTGCTTCTACATTCACCAGCCAGAGTCAACCCTGGGACGGGCTGATACTAATGGAAGTCAGTGGGACGGACTCGCTCCCTGATTGGACAGGAAGTACTAACCATGACTCTCCCGGCACACAGTTGATATTTAGAGGATTATAAAACATGAGTGATGAGCGTCCTCGCCATCTTCCCGCCTTCCAGGCTCCAAATCAAAACCTTCATCCTCAGCTCCATTGTGATGTTTGGCGGAAGAGACACAAAGAAGTAAAAACCACGGCGTCTTCCCAGAAGCCCCGGAGTGTCTCAGCAGCTCGATGAGGGAAAACTCAACATCAAAGACGTTCACATCTCACACCGCCTCTTTGATTTCAGTCCGACAGGATATTTTCTTTTATTGCTTTTATTTTTTCTATCACACATCAACAGACTCAGATCAGCTGATGGCGTCTCTCCTCACATCATCTCCCGCTCATGCACCTGAGGCCCCCCCGGTCCTCGGGTCAGGATCCCTCTCACAGGCTGCTGACTCTCACTTGCCCACGGGGCTTATGGGAAAAGCTTGTTCTGGTGAAACCATGAGACCTGAGGAAGACACTGAACGAGCTGCAGCAGGTTCTTTAGCTTTTAGTTCAGTCACTGACCCGACGACTGATCTGATCAAACAAATCTGATCTGAACAAATCAATACCTCTTTGAGTCAGGTCACAATTAGAACCAGAGGTCAGTTCAGGTGTATTTTTCAAAGAACAAATGTTTCCATAAAAACATGTTTCCTGATAGTAAGTAACCTCTGCAGGTGATCTGGTTGTGATCATGAGGAAATAGAGATGGTGTTGAATCAGTACATGCAGTTTATTATCAGTCAGTGAACAGGAGGCCGACGTCCACCAACATGTCTGAGAAGGACCAAATCCACTTTACTCATATGTTTACTTACAGTTTAACAGGAACTACTTTCACAGAGTTATGTCGTTTCTACGGAAACCCTGAAAGGCAAGAGACATTTTTTTCCAGGATCATTTTTCCATTTTTTTTTTTTTAAGGATAAAAAACCCCCCCCCCCCCCCCCACTGATGCTGCATTAGTATCATCAATAATGGATTTCAGTCTCTGGTAGTGGAGCGGTTCTGCTGTTCTGAGTCCTGCAGGATGGAAAAACATCCGGTGTAATGGCCCCTAAGGCTGAATGTGTGGCCCCCAGGGGCCCTGAAGGGATCCTCCAAATTCACTTCTTTAATTCCTCCTTCATGAAAAAGAAAAGAGGGAAACAGAGTTACATCGTTGTCATGATAAGACAATGAGCCTTTATTAAACATTAAAGTGACAGCTCAGCTTATTAGAGGTGGGTGAGGTTCCACAGTCAGTGTTGTAGCTGCAGTAGATTCAGTTTAGATTCAGTTTAGAGGAGCAGCAGGAGCAGCATATACTGTATATATCTATATATATATATATATATATATATATAGATATATACTGTATGTATACATATAAAGTAAGATTTTCACGGCTGCATCTGCCCTATAAAATTCAAACAATGCACAGTGTAAGTGCGCTTATTTAAAAAAATATATTGAGCCAGAATCTGAAGAATCTGAATTATTTTGCCTGTTTGTTTTTGTTTATTTATTCTTTTATTCAGTTTTTTTTCTTTAATATCTTCTTTATGTTGTTAAACCTGATTGATATTGTGATGTTGTCCAGATGTTTTTACACTCTGACAGGAAACCTTTAAAAATCTCAGTAAGAATCCCTTTAGTCTGAATAAAACAAAGAATCTAAAGAGGGAAAATGAGAGAAATCAGCTGTTTCTCCTTTTCCAGGAGAATATGCTTTAAATTCCTCAGATAATCTCTGGTTTCAGTGTGAGTGTCAGTATTATTAGATCCCTGGAGGCCCTCCTCTAAATACTCCTAATCCCCCCTCTGTCCCTCTGATGCTTCTTCTTCTCTCTCTATCATCTCTCTCTCTTCTATTCTTCTTCATGTGCAGCAGCTTTCTCTTCATCCTCCAGGAGAGGGGGGGTAGAGAGAGGGAGGGGGGGGGCTTAATCGCAGGTTATAACAGAATATTACATTACATCACCCAGTGCATGCTGGGATATGCTGCAGGTATGGAGACTCCATCTCTTTAAGTCTAACTTTAAAACCCACATGTCTCCATCTGTCTCCGACCATGAGACAGTTAACGCATCACATTTTATTGTACAGCACTTTGGTCAATCAATCAATCAATTAATCAATCTATCAATTAATCAATCTATCTATCTATCTATCTATCTATCTATCTATCTATCTATCTATCTATCTATCTATCTATCAGGCTTTATTTGTACAGCACTTTTCATACAAACAATGTAACACAAAGTGCTTTACAGGATATTAGCAATAAACACCCCCCCTCCCCACACACACACACACACACACACACAAATAAAATAAATAAAGCAATAAAATAATAACAGGAACTGATGAAACACAAAGATTAAGATAAAAAGATAAAATAATAAAATACTAAAACAAAACAAACCAGTTACAGCGTAAATAAATAAATAAATGTTTGCTTTCAAAACCGGGATTTTAACAGTGACGTCTGCATGTGAAGTCACCTGTAACAGGTGTGTTGTTGTTGTTGTGTGTACAGATCATGATTGGAGAGGCCATCTTGTTCTGCTGTCTGTCTCGGAGGAAGAGTGGCGCCTGCGCAGAGGCGAACATCAACGCCGCCGGCTGCAACTTCAACTCCTTCATACGCAGAGCCGTGCGCTTCGTTGGTACCTGACTTCCTTCCTGTCCGTGTGGAAACTGATGATGAGTTCCTGCTGCTCCGCCTTATTGTTCATGAACATTAACGTTCAGCATCAGCCGTCATCTGCTGATATTAAATCTAATAATGATATTTTCTGTATTCGTCACGTGTTCAGCTCGTTTCCCCTCGCTGACGTCACACCCTCCTCTGTCCTCAGGCGTCCACGCGTTCGGTCTCTGTGCCACCGCCCTCATCACCGACATCCTCCAGCTGATGACAGGATACCCGACGCCCTACTTCCTCACCGTGTGCAAACCCAACTACACCACGCTCAACATCAGCTGTGAGCAGAACCCCTACGTCATGGAGGACATCTGCTCGGGATCCGACCCCGCGGCCATCAACCAGGGCAGGTAGGGAGGGAAGAGGCTTTATTCAAAGACTGTGATTCTCATACCAGCACTTTACTTCATGAGCTTTGTGATGCGTTATAAACACATTTTGTGCCAAATATCAGCGACATTAGAGAGGAAAACAAGGAAACCATGATCTGCCCCTTTTATTTCTGAGGTTGGACCATTTCTTTTCTTTACTGAGGCTCCACCCCCTAAATGTCGCCCAGGAAAGAGACAGTTCAGGGTGGTCCAGGTCTGAATCAGACGGGGTCTGGAGACTCCGGGTCCACACAGGGTGATGGGTCACAGGCTGACTGCACAGGTGAATGAGATGACAGGCTCGGGGTCAGACACGACCAGAACTCTTTACAGGTCTGGAAAACATTTTAGTAGATGAAAGGCTTCGATGAAGCCAGGTTCTGAGTCAACACTGGAACTGTCGCTTCCTGTTCCTCAGTAGAAGCTAGCAGGTGAGACACCTTCAGTCCTCTGAGGCGGCGGAGCCTCTTTAAGAGTGTCTGCTGGGTCCGCTTCAGTCACTTCCGTCTGTCAGATTTTACTTTGGACCCAAATGCAGAAGACGAACCAGGAGTAAGTAAGTAAAGTTTATTCATACAGCACCTTGACAGGTACAAATCACTAAGAGCTTCACAATAAAAGACAGAAACACAATGGGGAGACGTAAGATCAGACAAACATAAAAAGTCTGTTTGAATCAACAGAATTAAAGCAACGTAAAGAGGGAGGCGGCGCCTTCCACTGCTCGAAAGGATCGGTCCCCTCGGGTCTTTAAGTGGGTGTGGTTAACCACGAGCAGCCTCTGACCTGACGACCTGAGACTGCAGGAGTGTGAAGTTGTATCGAGTCAGAGATGTAAGAAGGAGCTTGTCCGTGCAAGAATCTAAAAGTAAGGACCAGAGCTTTAAAATGAAATCTAAGAGGAAGTGGTAACCAGTGAAGTGATGCTGGAACAGGTGTGACAGGTGCTCTGAAGAGACGGTCGAGCTCTTTCTTATTCACACAACTAAAAAGACGGGTACAGTAATCTAACCCGGACAAAATAAACGCATGAATGATCATCTCCAATTCGGCCTTCGATGCCAGTTTTCTTAGTTTGGACATGTTCCTCAGGCAGGTGGCGAATAGATTTATTTATGCAACAGAAACAGAGAAGTTTTACTAAAATGCAGAAACTAAATCCAGTCAGGTGGGGCAAATAAATCTCATGCCCATAACGAAAGGCCAAAGCTCAGGAACTGAAAGGGAACAAAAAACAGGATGAACTAGAAAACTTACTCAACTTTTAGCTTTATTTGACAGGGACAACGTTAATAACAGTTCTGTTGAGTTGGCCAGAGAGGCAGGTGAACACAGGGGAAACACATCAGGGCGGGGCAGACAATCACTGAGGAGCGAAACAGGACACAGACAGGAAGTAAAGACAAACACGAGACAGACAAGGTAAATACTTTCAAAGTAAAACAGGAACTAAAGAAAAATCCAAAACAAAGTGTCCAAACTCAGAAATATAAGAGCAGATCCTGAGAGTGGAGCTTCGTTTACCTCAACTACAGAGAGAAACAGACAAGCTTCACGGAAGTAACGATGAATGAAATAAGAAAAAACTAAAAGATCCACAGGAAACAGGAACAGGAACAGGAAACATGAACAGGAACAGGAACAGAAACAGAAACAGGACCAGGAACAGGAACAGGACCAGGAACAGGAACAACATAAGGAAAAGGAACAGGAAACAGGAAAAGGAACAAGAGCAGGAAAAGAAAAAGGAACAGGAACAGGAAACATGAACAGGAACAGGAACAGGCAACATGAACAGGAACAGGAACAGGCAACATGAACAGGAACAGGAACAGGCAACATGAACAGGAACAGGAACAGGCAACATGAACAGGAACAGGAACAGGCAACATGAACAGGAACAGGAACAGGCAACATGAACAGGAACAGGAACAGGAAACAGGGATAGGAACAGGAAACAGGAAACAGGGATAGGAACAGGAAACAGGAACAGGCACAAGAGGACTCTGTTCACAGAAAAAGAGGCTGTTCTTTAATTTCTCTGCTGACAGACAACTGTGACTTGATTCTCTGTGATTCAGCCGTTAGTTTCTCGGGATCGACACCAACACTGAGTCTGTCTCTGATTAAAGCAGGGACCTGATGGAGGCTGGTTCCTGTGAGGTGTGATGAGGTGTGATGAGTGTGTGTGTGTGTCAGGAGGCAGCAGAGGGACGTGGGCGGGGCTGGATGAGTCTCAGTTCGACCCGTGTGTTTGGGACGCACGTCGTTTTGGCTGCAGAGTACGAGGGTCTAAATATAACCCACCGCTCCTGGCATCAACACAGTCTTCTGCTCTCAGCCGGAGCTTCAGTCTGGTTTCCAGAGCAGCATGAAAAGCTGTTTCTCTGCAGTGTTTGTGAACCACGGTTATTATTAACCTGCTCTAACAACGACCTGCCTCCCTGCAGCAAAGACTACGTGAGTCTTTATGGTCTGGGCCGGAGGTCATCCTGAAACATACATGTAACATTTAGAGTCACTATCAATTCATTCAAATGCTCTAGATGTCTTTATTTACATTTAATTGTAGTCTGGCTTCTGTGGAACTTTTATTCTGACAGGGAGCTAAAGGGAAGGTCAGGGGGTGACTAAAATCATCCAGAGGTGTGTGGCAGCTTCCCTCCTCTGGTTGGAGGGATTTACCCTACACCTGCCTAAAAATAGCCACAGATACGTTTCAGTGCATGGTGCAGACTGCAGACAATAATCTGTGGTGTTCACTGTGAACATGTGACTTTTGTTCCCTGGTTTTAGTCTGAAGGACACTGACTGACTCTCTGTGTAAGCTCCCTGTTAAATCTGCACCAAACCTGGAGACACAGCGAGGTGCCGCCTGAAGGACAAACTGGAACTAATGACTCGACTGCTGACGTTCGACATCCTGCAACACACCGATCAAACAGCTCCAACATGAGACGAACACGGTTCTATAACAACGCTGTACTGCTGCACAGGAGTACAACTATCCTCCAGCCCACGATCTGTCAATGATGGAGACACTAGCATTAACATTAGAACCAGGTACACAGGTGTAGGTGTTAAAAACAAATATATAATATACTGTATGTGAGTGGCTGTAAACCAGAGAGCAAGAGAGCTAGAACATGAAGAGGAGAAACTGAACTTTAAACCATTTTCTACATTCAATATACTCTACAATTATAACAATATAGGAATTGCTGCACTGACACAAAACCAACAAAAAAACTAGGACCACCTCCCCATGGTCGTATCCCTCCGCCACTCAGACTAGTTCCACATCCTGTTTATCCAGAGTCAGAGGAAATATTAAACATCTGTGTGACACTTTGTGAGGTCACACTGACCTTTGACCTTTGACCTTTAATGACCAAAATCTGTTAATCCTGAAGTCCAAGTGAATGTTTGCGCCACACGTGAAGAAATTCCCTGAACGTGTTCCGGAGAATTTGCGTTGACATGATGGTCGCCGACGCAGAGAAACAAGTTTCTCCTCCTGTTATAACGAATATTAATCTGTGCAGATGGAGTAGGTTCATTGGAACAAGTCTTTAGAAGAAATATAAATAAACAGAAATCAGTCATTCACACGATCCAGCCTCCGTCTCTTCTCACATACATGGAGCTTATCTTTCCTAGTGGGGCTTGATAACGTCCGTCTTATCCACTCAGTTTATTCTGTCAGTGTTTTTCTATTAGTGTGAAACATCTTCATGTTTAAATCAAGCTTCTTCACTTTCACTAAAAACCATTTCCTGTTTGATCAGATTCAGCGAGGATGATCATCACCTGTGTGTCTGTTCATTAGTGAGTTACAGAGTCGACTCTGTTATTGTTTCCTTGTATGTGAAAACTGTGAGGAACAAAGGCGTCGTCTTTAATCTTTTATCAGTTTAATTGGTCTAATCTTCACGCTTCTTAAGACGCAGTGGAAACACAAACCAGTTGAGGGCCCAGGGCCCCTGAGTTCCAGGAACCAGGTGGTCAAAAGGCTGAACAACATCAGCAGCAGGTGAATACAGACGTGTGTTCAGTGCAGGAAGCAGTGAGGTTTAAAATGGATGTGATGAAGCAGCATGACACACTGTCGGAGATAAAGTTCATTATTTAAAGGGTGGTTCAGATGCTCCTGTATGTAGACTTAGAACAGGCTTTTCTTTACTGTAATTATTCCTCCTGTTCACACAGATCGTTAAAAGATTAAAAGATCCTCAGTCAATATTCATTTATCTCATTTTAATATCAGGCTAAGTCTAAGTTAATCAGATAAAGCGGGTGAATAACAAGGAACACGAAGGATAACTCGGCTCAGCCTGAGCTAACCACAGGAAGTGACATCAGTGGTGGAGGTGTTGGGAAATGGAAGCCAACTTAAACTACCTGTACAAGAACTGAAGCCTGAAACCAAGATGGCACCAGCCCTCAGAGCTGAGAGAGAGAGAGCGGCCATCTTAGAACCTTTCAGCTTAAACAGGCTCCAACCAGGTGAAGCCAGTCAGGTAATCAGGAAGTATCTGAGCAAAACACAGGAAGCAGGTAGAGGCCAAAACAAACAGGGTCACATGGATCATATGGAGGGAACTGTTGGTAGAGACGGTTCATCTCAGATTCACTTCAGATAAACTTGTAATATCCTGTAATAATCTGATATACGCACAATAACATGCATATTAATATAAACATTCATGTTAAAGAGCGTTATTTTATGCAGTGGCAGTTTTCATATGAATGCATTTTTTATGACTCCAGATGTTAAGTGTTGGTTTAAGGCACACACACACACACACACACACACACACACACACACACACACACACACACACACACACACACACACACACACACACACACATATGCAGAGTCAGGAGTGAGGAAGAGGAGGGTGGAGTTGTCAGAAGTAGGTCACTGGGATGTTGCTCACAGAGAAACTGGGCCACATGTTCACTCTCAGTTTGTAAGTCAAGCTCCTTCTTCACCGCAGTGTGTGTGTGTGTGTGTGTGTGTGTGTGTGTGTGTGTCTGTGTGTTGGTCGGCTGCTTGTCTCGTAGCATCAGACTGAGACGTGGAGCCTTTGTTGGATTATTTTGGAGTTTCTAGCGTGAACAAAAGCTTGACGAGGATGAAAAGAAGCGTCTCATTTGGTTCAGTCATCCAGCCTGTAACAACCAGTGTGTGTGTGTGTGTGTGTGTGTGTGTGTGTGTGTGTGTGTGAGATTCCTCATCACGCCTGTGTGTGTGTGTGTGTGTCTCCACCTCCTGTTGACTCACACACAGATGTGAGTGAGTCTGTTTCTCTTTCATCTCTTGCAGAAAATCCTTCCCATCGCAGCACGCCACCCTCGCATCCTTCGCCGCTGTCTACGTTTCGGTGAGTAGCGGTTTGTTCCCACACACTTGGCCCTGTTCAGCCTCAGCTTGATGTGTGCACCAGACTGACTGAGAGGCAGGAGGAGAGTTTGTCCACAGTCCTGTTTCCCCTTGTCCAGTAATGCTGAAATATTAATAATATGAAGTGTGTCATTCAGGATCTACACTGACTGATCATCACCTTCACAGGTGAGTTTTCAGTGTCTCTCTTCTCTGTTCCTGAAGCTGACATGTTTATAGATGAGTGGATTTAACACAGCGTGGAGGAAAGAACCAGAGTGAGACAGTAAATCTGGACTAACTAAGAACACTCACTTTAACCCATTCAAACCAGAATGACACTCAGTAGACTCCGTACTTCCACCGAGGCCAGACATGTTCTTCCACCAGCTCAGATCACAGATCAGGTGAAGTTTAGAATAAGAGCGAGTGGGGCGTCGAGTAGCTCCGCCCCATGTGTAGAGGCTACAGTCCTCGCTGCAGTCGGCCCCGGTTCGAGCCCTTAGCTGCATGTCATTCCCCCTCTCTCTGCCTCTCTCTCTGAAGACAGAGCGGGTCGGCCCTCTGACAGAACCACAGACCAGAACAGTCTGGACTGAGACGTCTGGTGTGCAGGACGGTGATGACAGAGGCTGAGAGGAAGCGTGACTGAGTTCAGACCCAGAAGTGTCTCTGAAGGCAGCAGCAGAGTCTGGGTGTGATTCAGGAGGTCAGGTGGAGGTCAGGTGGAGGTCAGTGGAGGTCGATGACAGTCTGGACCGTCTGTGAGGGTTTCACTGTGAAGGGAGGTGCACCAGAGGAGCTCTGCAGGAGTGGAGGTGAAAGACAACGTTAAAGAAAGAGATCCTCCTCTTTCACCAGATCTGCACCAAGTTCTTCTGTGGACCATGAACCGTCCCTCCACCTGATAGGCCAGTTTCCATCAGTGAGCCGATACAGAGCGAGCAGCCTCTCTGGATAAGTGATAAGTGACCCCTGTGTTCAGTTAAAGACAAAGTGAGAGGTGATGGAGCAGCTCAGTGTTCTCACTCACAGCAGGAAGCTCACCTGTGGTGCACACGCTCAGTTAAGTTGTGGCTTGTTTCTATGGTTATGTAACCACTGTTGCTACAGCGACAGGTTTACACAGAGCAGTGAACTGTGATCACATGATCAGATGTCAGACTGAATGTATGAACAGGTTCATCAGCAGAATGTGATGCAGCATCAGACAAACATCCATCAGACCAATGAGAGGTGATTATTCTCCACTTGACATTCAGTTGTGTATATGTGTATATGTATGTGCACGTGGGTGTATATGAACAGGATTAACATATATGAACATTAGGATGTATATGAATTAAGACTATGCAGGTATATATTAAGGTGTACGTCCAGTATGATGGTATATTATCTTTATTTGTACAATTGTTAATTTTATAGATAGGTGCAATATAATGACTGAATTCTACTTTACTTCACAAGCAGGTATGTGTATATATATATATCTTTATATACACACACACACACACATATATATATATATATATATATATATATATATATATATATATATATATATATATATATATATATATATATATATATATATATATATATATATATATATATATATATATATATATATATATATATATATATATATATATATATATATATATATATATATATATATATATATATATATATATATATATATATATATATGTGTGTGTGTGTGTGTATATATATATATCTTTATATACACACACACACTATTTTCTTTATATTTTTTTCTGCTGCCATTCATTCTGTCAACATGACTCAATGTTGACAATAAGGTGATATCAGACCTGACCATGGATGTAGCAGGTTGTAGTTAGCTTAGCATCAAGCAGCAGGTGAATGAACACAAGTAGTTTGTGTTTTGAATGTTTTCATTTACTGACTTGTGTCGAGCAAATGAAACCACATTGGAAACACCTCTTCAGAAGAGAAGCTAAGCTAACCGGCTAGGCTATGAAAACGTAGCTAAGCTAACAGACTAGGCTAAGCTAGCTTTCTGTCCAGGTGTAACAGACGACTCTGTCATGTTTCTGTGTAAAAGCATCACAGATACAGAAACTGTCAGAGAGTGAAGGATGAATGAAAAGATGTTTTTACTGATGAACCATCTGAGCAGCTCAGAGGCTGCCGGCAGCTACCGCCTTTTAAGGTGGAATGTTTTCCTGTGTGTTCCTCAGTGTATGATTGACGTTTGGAAATCAATCAATACACCTTAAAGGTCAATATGAAAACTGTGACCATTAGTTTCTATCAGCTCTCTACATGACAGACTCTTTAGTGATCAGATCTTCAAGCTCTTAAAAATGTAGATGATTTTCAACCTGATCATGTGACCTGTGGAGATTTTATTTCCTCACGTGGAGAAATAAAGTGGCTGAGCGTCGTTCCTGTGTCTCCAGCAGCTCTACACCTGTGACCAGCACACGGGAGAGTAAATCATTAATGTGTGGTGTGTCCACAGATGTACTTCAACAGCACTCTGACCGACTCGTCCAAGCTGCTCAAGCCCCTGCTGGTCTTCTCCTTCGTCATCTGCGCCATCATCTGCGGTCTGACCAGGATCATCCAGTACAAGAACCACGCCATCGACGTCTACCTGGGCTTCCTGCTGGGAGGAGCTATCGCCGTGTACCTGGTAGGAGCCAGTCCCATCAGCTGCTTCCTTTACAGTGGTACAGTCCTCCGGATGGACGTCAACCAGAAACTGGAAAACAGAAAACAGTGTAGCTAGATTTATTTAGAGGCACTGAAAGTCGAGTCTGTCACCAGCACGATTCAAGGCCTGTTGTTATATGTGCTAAATTAAGTCTCTCAGTAATGGTTGGTACTTAAGGTTGTAACTGCAGCCACAAACCACCAGGAAACGAGCTGCCATCAGTTATGTGATTTATTTACAGGATGTTGATTCCCAGGATGTTTACCAACAACAAAGGAGGAAAACATGAAAACAAAATCTGCCCCACAAATCTAAAATCTGGCCTTTAAATCGCAATGTTTCAAATAATAATTAGCCTTACTTCATTAATTAACAATTAGAACAACAGATAGAGTAAACGATATCAAGTTATAACACATAATCCACAACAATGAAAGATGAAGAAAATCCTACTTAGACTGACGATAAAGCAAAAGACACAAGACAAACAGAAGTCAAAGGGTGAGGGGGGGTTTGTCCCCACCCTGGCCTCTGTTTATTAGATGGGAGGAGGTACTTTCACAGGTGTGTGCCTCCTTGTGGAGAGGAGGGAATACGAATCCAAAGTTACTAACAAGTAACATTAACAGTAACATCAAACACTGAATCTCATCTAACCCAGAGCAAAGACCAGTCACAGTCAGTCAGTGATGAAGAGGAGGAACATCTGGCTTCAACAGGAAGTACGAGCAGTTAGCAGTAACAATAAGTACAATTACTTGGGTACTGTATTTCAGTGTATTTCTATTTAAGTATCTGTACTTGAGCATTATTTGTTTTAGAAAGTTCTAACTTTTACTCCTCTACACTTAAAGACAAATATTGTACCTTTGACTCCACTACATTTCTATGATCTTATTTCTAAAATGTGAGACCACACACTGTGTTCATCACAGGAGAAAAACCAACCACAGCCGACTCCTCCTCTGTCGGCCATGTTTGAACCGCTCAGCGTCCTAACGATGGAGACGTGAGATAAAGACGAGGCAGAGGATTCTTCAGAGGCCGTGGTCTGATCTGAAGTCTGTGTTTGAAGCTTTACAAAGAAAGATTCATTTAGTTTAAATGTTTGCTGAGTTTAACACGACCACACGACATCACTGACTGAAGGTAAAACAAAAACAACAGCTTTCATGTCTACAGTCTGTTTATTCTACAGTCTGTTTATTCTACAGTCTGTTTATTCTACAGTCAGTCAGTCAGTCAGTCAGACAGTAGTTAGTCAGACAGTAGTTAGTCAGTCAGTCAGTCATCAGTCAGTCATCAGTCAGTCAGTCAGTCAGACAGTAGTCAGTCAGTCAGTCATCAGTCAGTCATCAGTCAGTCAGTCAGTCAGTCAGTCAGTCAGACAGTAGTTAGTCAGACAGTAGTTAGTCAGTCAGTCAGTCATCAGTCAGTCATCAGTCAGTCAGTCATCAGTCAGTCAGTCATCAGTCAGTCAGACAGTCATCAGTCAGTAGTCATAAATAAATGTACTTTTGATTACTGAAGTATTTTTAAAATCAAGTATTAAAGTAAAACTCTGAACAACTGTCACTTGTATTATAATATTATAATAATACAACATTTGACCAGAGGATCTATACTGTGAGGATCTATACTGTGAGGATCTATACTGTGAGGATCTATACTGTGAGGATCTATACTGTGACTCTACACTGACACACACACACATCACCTGCACAGACTGAATACTTCAGTGATGAGATGCTTCAGTCTTTGACTTTAATACATTTGCATTGTGGGTTATTGAGTGTAGAGTGACGGGAGCTACGGAAGCAGAGAAAGGTCATACTCACAAATACTGTTTGATCCCGTTACCTGGAGATAACAGAGCTCTGTTATGGTCGATAACGGAATAATTATCCCGAGATGACGGCGTTATGTGGCTCAAGGTTTTTCACTGAACTCCAGCTGCATGACTTTCACTAATGGGACTGATGGGACCTTCATTAACTCCCAGATCGTTAATGAAGGTTGTGAGAGTAGTTTGCTCTGATTGGTTGAAACGTATTATTTTATTCATCTTATCTAATTGGTAAATAAAACTGTGGTTGATTTTAAACACGCAGGTAAAGGTGTAAAACCTTGAACAACTGTGTCATCTCCGTTTCCTGTGAGTTAGTTTGAAATCGTTGGACAACATCAAGTGAAACTATCGTCAGTGTTTAACTCTGAACGACCTCTGTGTTTCCTCAGGGCTTGTACGCAGTGGGAAACTTCCAGCCTAGTGAGGAGTCCAGCTGCAGCCCCCCTCCTCTGCTGCACCGCCCCCCCTGCTCTCTGCCCCACATCAGCCAGGAGGCCGTCCTTCACCACCTGCAGATGAAAGCCAGCATGGCCGGGGAGCCGGGCATCCCCACCTCCCACTCTGAGGGCCTCCTCCACCGGGGCCTCCAGCAGCAGAGGCCTGATGACGGCATGAAGCACGCCGGCGCAGACGTGGAGATGATCTCCCCCCGCGGCTCCCAGAGCAAAGACGCCATGGTGACCTTTAGCCACACCCTCCCTCGGGTGCACACCCCCCAGGCCATGGCAGCATATGAGGAGGCAGCCAGACGTCACGCCGCCACGCTCCACCACGCCTCCATGGACTCCAGCCGCTCAAAGCAGCTTCTGTCTCAGTGGAAGAGTAAGAACAACCACAAATGCTCCCTGCAGGTCCCAGACTCCTTCTCCTCCTCCGTGGACTCCTCGTCAGGTCAGTCCTCCCAGCACCCGCACCACCACGGCAGCATGGAGCTCCGGTCCAGCTCCGAACCCTCGGCCGTGGGTCTGAACGGAGGCTTCGACGGTCACGCATACATGTCCAAACTGGCCACAGGCGCCAGCACCACCCTGCCCAGTAACTGCAGTGGCATCACAGGAGGGGCCAGGATTTCCATGCAGTCTAGACCCGGGTCTTCACAGCTGGTGCACATACCAGAGGAAGCTCACGAGAACTACAGCGTCGCCTCCCCGAGGACGGTGGGAGGAGGAGGAGGGAACGAGGGGATGTCGGCAGTGAACAGCACCGTTCAGGCGAACTGGCACAGAGCAGCAGAGAAGACGGCGGCGTGCAGGACTAACGACACGGGGCAGAACTCCCAGCCCAGAATCATGCAGGTCATCGCCATGTCCAAGCAGCAGGGCCTGCTGCAGACACACTCCAAGAGCTTAGACGAAAGCAGCATCGGCTGCAGCGCCGCCGGGAGCTGCCAGGGCTCCGCCCGCTACCGGGTGCTAACTGATCCAGACCCCCCCAGCAACACCGGGCCCAGCTCACTGGGCAGCACCACAGGCAGCATCTCAGGGAGCACCGGAGCCATCGTCCGAGTGGAGGCCCACCCGGAAAACAACAGGCCTGTGATCCAAGCTCCGTCCACTGATGGAAGCGGGTCGTGGAGGTGGCGCTCCCTGGATCATGGCAATGGAAGTGGTGGAGGTGTGGGGACTGGTGGAGCGGGAGGAGGACCAGGAGGAGGAGGTGGGAGTTTGAGGCAGTCCTTTGAGCTCAACGATCTAAACAGAGACTCAGAGAGCTCAGACTCCGTACGTGAAGGCTCCATCGACAGGAAACGCGTCAATCACATCGTCACCACCACCGCCACCGTCAGCACCCCGCCCATAGTTACTGTTCACACTCAGAACACCGGCCAATCAGAGCAGAGGCTCCACCCCCAGGGCCTCTCGACCATAAGGGTCACTCCAGGGGATGGTGGTGGTCCTGGATCTGGAGGAGGAGGTGGAGGAGGTGGAGGAGGAGGAGGAGAGACCGCCTCAGAAACCCTCTCTGTCGCCTCCAGCCGCGAGTCAACGCTGCAGAGAAAAGGCAATAATATCATCCTGATCCCAGAGCGCGCCAACAGCCCCGATAACGCCCGGAATATTTTCTACAAGGGGACGTCGATGACGCCGGTGTTCAAGGACTGATGCAGCTCACACTGCAAAACGGCTGTAGAGACCCACAGTCAGTGTCACCCGCCACTGTATGTACCATAGCTTCAAAAAGAAAACCTTTTATTCAGCATGAGATTTTTGTACATGTTTACACTAAAGCACAACCTTTTCAGTGTTGTAGAAATAATCACTGTGTACTTTCGTGGTCACTCCTGAGGAAACCTATTGTAATGTCCATGCTGTGCCAGTGCTTCGGGGACAGGAGAACCTTTTTTAAACCGTTCTGTACGTTTTGGATATAAATCATCACAAAAGAAGAGAACAGTGAGTAAAACACAGTGACGTTCAAACTGTAGCAAACCTCTGCAAAATACCTGTATGATAGCTGTGAACCAGTGTTTGCTCTCCCGCACTGTAAATACTGTGTATGTTTGAAAAGGGTGCTACGCCAGAAAATACTATTTACTATACAGCATACTATATCATTTGAGTAGATAAAGAAAGATTTATTTTACAAAGAGTGAACAACTATGACATTAATATGTGACAGAGATATGTTTTGTATTTTGTCTCTTTTCTGTACAGATACCACATACTCAATACTGTTTTGAACCATAAGTGTGCTTAGCATTCCTTCTGTAGCTATGAAGTCAAATATGCTGTGACTTGCACTGAAATATGCGTTTACTGTACCTTGTATACTGTAAACCCTGACCTTATCTTTATATCCTCGACTTACATTCTGGCCTCCACGTCAGTCTCATATCTACAGCACAGAAACAGCAGAATATTATGCTTCTTTATACCAGAAGATTATTAGTAATGCAATACTTGACCTCAAGCTTTCCAACAGGTTTCAATGGAGCACTTTGACATTTTGCAGAATATGCCGTCAAACCCGCAGCCGAGTGCTAACATTAGCAGAGTCGCACAGTCGGGTCGTTCCTTCAGGAGTGTCCTGGGTTCAGATAGAACTAGAACCACCTCCTCCTGGTCGTACCCCTCTGCCACTCAGTCTAGTTTCAGGTTACAGCCCGGTTTATCCAGAGTCAGAGGAAATATTAAACATTTGTGTTACATTTTGTTAGAATTGCTGTGAAGTCTTGAGTGATGGCTAAAGAGTGCTTTGTTAGGTCACTGTGACCTTGACCTTTGACCTTTAGCCAACAACATCTAATCAGTTCATGCTTGAGTCCAGGTGAATATTTGTGCCATATCTAAGTTCCTTCAAGGTGTTACTTAGATATTGTGTCCATGAGAATGAGACGGACAGACAACCTGAAAACAATATGGCTGCCGCTCACAGACCTTGTCAGGTGGCTGGCAGCTGGAGAACTTCCAAGGCTGGATTGCCAAGAAACTCTTAATGTTAAATCACACAAGCTGTTAGAAAAGATCTGTTCTTAAATTTACTAATAATTTCAAACCTGGAGGGAAAACTCAGCTGTATCACTGGAAGATCATGACTCTAAGAAACTGCTTCATTAATTCACTTTCAGATTCTGTTTATTTCAGTATCTATGGAGCCTTGTTTTGATCTAATCCGAAATAATGAGGCGTTTTAAATGTACTCCAGCTATGGTTCGTGCCAATAGCAGCCAAGGCTCATGGGTATCGTAGTATTCATAGCAGTCAGTCATACAGAACCTCCAGTTTTTCTTTGTTGAGAAACACTGACGATATTAATGAGAGAACGTTTAGAAACAGCAGGTCACAGCAGTGGAGGTCAAAACCACTTTTCCACTCGGCATCAGTTTGATCCCTTTGTGTTTTCTACAGAGAGACAGTCGTCGGGGATGTGTTTAGCCTAGCTTAGCACAAAGATCGAGGACTTTGCACCAAAGAGTTGTTGGTCCAAAACTTAGTCTTTAAATAAAGATGGACGTCGCCTCTGTGACGTCAGCCACAGATTTCTGAAGCTAAGAGTGAGCTGCTCCACCATTGCCAATTTGGCAGTGTCTGACTCCGCCCCTAACTTACAGCTGATGGTAAAATGGTAAATGGTAAAAAAAAAATGGTAAAATGGTAAAAGAGGAGGGGCGTGTGTGGAGCTGAGACTTTCATTTATGCCAGTTTGTGGCAACCATACACTCACCCACCTGTCACTCAAAGAGGCCACGCCCTCAATCCTCCATAACTTTAGTCCTTAATAAAATGTTAACAGGTGAGTTATATAAACAGTTGTCATGAAGGAGGAAATTAGCTCTAGAGACTAAAAGGCTGTAAACATGTTTATTTCTGCTGTAAAGTTGGACATTTCAACATGGGAGTCTATGGGGACTGACTCACTGTTGGAACCAGACTCTAGTGGCCATTAGAGGAACTGCAGGTTTCTATTCATGATACACAGACAGAAGCTGATGTTGATCTTCTCTCTTAACTCAAATGTATTTTCCAAAATGTTGAAGTGCTCCTTTAATCACTCTGTCTAAGAAACATTTGAGCTAATTAATCTCAGTTCTTCAGAAGCTATGTGCTCACCATAGTAGCAAAATTCAAACTGGTTTAGCTGTCGCCTGCATTTCCAGGTGCTACATGTAGCATTCTTCAACCAGAATATATTGAATAATATTGCTGTCAAATTTGATACCTCAGTATAATTATCATCCTTGGCTTTGCTGAACAGAATGAGCATGTAAGAGGTGATCTTTGCTGGGTTTAGCGCTCCTGCCACCACCTGCCGTTTGCACTGGAAGAACAGCACCTTCTCCCAGTTTTGTGCTGTAAAGTATTTTCCTTTTGTGCCATAAAGTAACCAGCAGATTTTCTACCAAAACTAACCCAGTGTATCAGATGCTCTGTAGAGGCCAGTAGAGGCTGTCTGATGATGGTGGTAGTAGCTGTCTCACATGAGTAAGTTTATTAATGTGCAGTAGGTACAGGATGGTGACTGTTGGACGAGCTGAAGGCGCGCTTGTTTACATTATAGGGCATATCATTAATTTGTAGCTCAGTGGTGAAGGAAGCATCCACTGGATATAGAAATACATTTGATACAAACACTCCAGGATTTGGCCTGTGAAAATATTTTGCCAGAGTGACTCGGTGAGAAAATTTGCCAAAGCTAGAATTTTTCATAGGAGACGAATATAAATCATCAGATGGAGTTTTCCGTATTTGTATAGCAAGCCTGCATTATATTGTACATGATTTATTAACATTTGCATGGTCACTTTTCTATAGTGCATATCACAAGATTTCTATCATAAATGTGTTTTATTTGGACTTTACAGAGGTGTTTAACAGTATGTACTTTAGTTACAGTCTGTGTTTCATAGTGAGAGTTATATGACAATCTTTTGTATCTAAGTACTGTTGCCCCTTCAGGTCATTAATACAGGCTGGTTTTCTTTTTTTTTGTTGCATTAATGGAGCTGCCACTCATTAATTAATTTAAAATGTGTACATAATTCAACAAAAGAAAATATTTTACAGTAACCCAGGTAGATTGATTATTTCATTTTATTTAAACTGCACCTCAGCCTCATTTCTTGTACTCACTGTCATCTCAGTAACTAGGTGTTGGTACACTTGTTCTGACTGCTCTGTTTGTGAAACACAATCCAATGAAGGTTTAATTTAAGCATGAGTTAACCAGGACTATGTCATGTTATTAGTTATGTGAGTGCAGACATGCTAACCAGCTTGGCCAATAGTTATTTTCTTCACTGTTGTCCTGAGGTGAATTTTGGTACAATACAGTGTGAAATATGAAGTGCTGTAAAATATTCAATTGTTTTTTTTTAAATAATAGTTTTTATTTGAATTTATACTTATACAAAGCACCATAAGGCCACAATCTTAACCATAAACAGACTTCAGTGTAATACCTTTACAGACAACAGATTTCTTTCTTTCTATATTTTTCTCACTGTCAACAAATCCCATGAAGAGACCAAAACCAACGATGCATTATTCTGTGTCTCTGTACTTCCCTCCTCTATCTGTGGCTCTTAGCCTGAAGCCGATTGGCTCCTACTGACGACACCAATCTTTAAAAACAGCTCACAAATATATGGTCTCATTTGTAAGTTTTTGCTAGTGCTACATAGCTAATCTCGAGATAACTATGACCTGGACGAATGAGAACATTCACAGATACATAGCTAATGTTAGCATTCGCAGCTGTTGACTCTCCAGTCTAGAAGAAATGTTGTGAGTTCAGCATCAAACTTCATTCCTTTACTCATCAACATCTGTCTCCAGAGGTGGAAACAAACACCAATGTTAACTTTTGTTTCTATTACATCTTTTCTTCTACTGACGTTAGCATGCTAACGAGCTAGCTCTGGCCCATCCCGTCACTTTCTGATAGCGACTCACTGTAGCCCAGAGGACGTGTTATAACCTGTTGTTATAAATAGCCCCTTTAAAGCCTCAGTAATCAGATCAAACAGCTGGCTACTGTCATTTTTTAGTTAACGTCACTCAAACAGAAGATGATATTTCATTTGTTAGGGACTATGTTTTGCAGTGGAATAATACACATGATGCTCTATTGAGTATTTTGGGCAGCAGGGCAGTATATATGGGATTGAGTCAGACTCACACACAAGATACATTCATTATTTGGCTTTGCACGTGGGATTTGATGACAAATACCATCAGATTTATGTTTGTTTTTCTTTTACTGCGTCCTAACCTGCAGATTAACATAAATCAGTGTGGCCTACTACGTCAGGTCTTTAGCTAATGTTAACAAAAGCTGCTGATCTACAGACAAACTCCAGAAAACAAACTGTATAAAATTAAAGGAGCTCCTTTTCAATTCCAATACAGGACTAAACGCAGCACTGAAGATTTCCTCCAATGCAACACAGCTGCCCCTGAAACACACAGCAGCTACTCATTTATCTGAGAATACCGTTTCATACCAGCATCTTCACAGCTGACATATCAAAGATGGCTCCCATTGTATGATCTATGTGAAACCAGCCTGTATGACATCACCTAATCATGGCCGTCATTACAAAGTTGAACCTACATGATGTGAGGGTTCAAAACACAAGTTACATTCTTTAGATTAAAGCCTT